AAAAAAAGGTTGGCAATATGATTTCCAAACTTGGAAATCCCTTTGGGGCCATTCCCACTGTGAACTTTGCCCATTTCCTATACCTAAAGGCCTGAGATTCTTTGCTTGCTGGGATCTGAGTTGCATTTTAATAAATATTTATTATGGTATTTCATTACATTTTAAAAATACAGTTGACAAAGATCTAACCATGAGGGTTTGATTTCATCTAACTTTTGCTCCACAAAAGCAACAGGAGGCTGGAAGAGGAAAAATAAGAACTGGATGGAAATGGGATTCAACCTTGAGCATGTGCCTCCATCAGGAGGTCCTACACAAACTGGGGACCAGATGTGTCCAAGTGATGGATGGTGTATTCAGTAGAAGGGACCCTGAGTGGAAGTTCAGTGGGAGTGCAAGATGGGTGGTAAGAGTAATAGGAAAACAAGGCTATTGGTCAATAGATTTATGCAAGCCAGGAAGAAAAATACTCACCCGGTGTGGTCATGTGGCCAAATAGAGTGAATGCATTTATATGCCAGAAAATGCCCTTTTGTACTGAGGTGACTTCAATTTGAGTTAGGATTAAAATGGATGAATGTCAAACTGAGGTAGGATAATATTCACTGAATGAAGTCATGGATAGTGGGAGCCTATCGCTGAGAAATGATGACAAAGGATGTCTGGCAGCGTGCCCTGTTTTGCAGGCTTAGAAGTGAAAATGGAACAGTTTGTCACATGGAGTCTTGTGCACAGTGCTTAGAGTATCTTTTGCAAATGGATGAAAACTCATATTTGACTGTGCCTTCTTTTACTTTGTACTTAGTTTGCAGAATATGTGTACCTTCTCCCATAAGCTATCAGCTACAGCTGTTGTACAGAGGCGTTTCCGTAGGGACTAAATGTTCCTGTCTAAACTGGTTTATCTGAGAGTTTCCCTTTATGCAAGCAAATTACATAATCTGCCGTAACAAAAACTTTTTTTTAAATTATGATCCTTGGAAAACTGCAAAGAAAGCAAGTGCATTCTACAGGGCAAAGTCTTCTAAGCTGAAACCTGGATGGGTGAAAAACAGAACAGAGAAAGGCTGTTGTAGATGGTTGATTGTAAAGCCAAAGCTGGGCAAGCCAGGGAGGGGGCGGGTGGGCTATGCGGAGACAAATATAAAAATTGAATGGTTATCTGTTTAAAAAGTTAGTTCGGGCCATATAGAAATAGACTAAGGGCCAGTTAAGACTAGAGAAATGGAGATCTGAACAAGGATTTGGTGAGCTAAGGGTGCTTCTACATAGACACTATAACGTAGTCTGAAGGTGGATTAAAACAAATCTGTTTTGCAATGCAGTGACTACATGAAACCCCAGGAACTAGTTTTAACAAACATAATTGTTAATTCCCCTACAAGTGTCTGTGTAGAAGCACCTTAAAGGGGTAGAAAATATCCAAGGAGAAATGTAGTTTGTTTAAAACCAAGGTGTTAGTAATGTACTATGGATTTCGCTTACAATAAATATTTACGGTTTCTTTCCATCATCTCTATCTGGATTTATTATTTTAATAGTTAATAATAGGATCCATTCCACTTTATCATATCCAGTGACCAAAACATCCACTTGTCCAATAGAGTGGTCATCTTGAGGCTCAAATACCAGACTTGGGGGAGGGGGACTAGAATAAAAGGGCAAGATGAGTGAGAGGAACCCAGAGGATCTGTCACACAGACCTTTGCATGAAATTTTGTACAGATTACTTTTGCAACAAGCTTGTTGGAGCATGCAAGGAATCAGTGAGAATGTGTGTATGTCAACTGTAAAATAAGATGCATGAAGCTGATTGTCAGGCAATGCCCAGAGAGCAAGCTGAGTCTGGGACTTTTGGATAACGTTACATTTTTGTTCAGGCTTGAGCTATGCAGGTACCAAGAGAGACAGTTTGAAAACAGAAACACACACAGAGAGATTCTGAAGTGTGCTCTTGCTTCATGATGGTACTCACCTTTAAGGCCTTGCATGGTCTGGGGCCGATGTATCTGAGAGACCGCCTCACCCCCTACCAACCCCAGAGATCCCTCCATTCTGAGGACCAAGATCTATTGGAAGTCCCCAGTGTCAAGACCTTGCGTCTAACAGCAACCAGACGCAGAGCCTTCACAGCAGTGGCACCATCACTCTGGAATACTCTGCCACCTGAAGTCCGTGCCTTGCGGGACTTACCAGCTTTCCGCAGGGCATGTAAGACATACCTGTTTTGACGGGCTTTTAATGTTTGATATCGCTGTTTTTAAATTGTTTTAAATTTCTTTTAAATTTTGTTAGTTTTTAGCTATTCTTGTAAGCCGCTCCAAGCCCCAGGGGAGTGGCGGCATATAAATTCAAATAATAAATAAATAAATAAATAAATAAATAAATAAATAAATAAGTTGCTGAAGGAGTTTATCTACATGGGCAAAGAAAGACAATTCTAAATCTTTCATAAAAGGACATTATGTGAGTTGATGCAACTCACCACATTGTACATATGTTGTTCTGAGATACCAAAGAGTAAACTACTTGTTCTTTATTGTTCACCTGTGTGGCAAATTTTCTTTCTCTGGCAAGGCAGTGTGTGGACTGATCAAAAATGAACGACACGTGGTTTATCTTACATTATACCACAAAGCTGACATGGGTTTATAATAGCAGCAGGAAAAGTACATGTGGCCCCAGGACCCACTTTTTTAGTTCCCCAAAGCTGTACAAAAGAAAGCGTATTTTTGCACATTGAAAATGTGGCCCAAAATGGTGATATGTGTGAAAACATTGGTCCAAGTCTTGTCCCTGCTTTGTAAGGGCCATATGTCTTAAGTATATATAATTAGGTGATAAACGTAATGTTAGCACACAAGGACTATTCGTTTGTGTGTTTTTTCTTAAGCTCTATTGCAAGCTTTTACAAACCTATCTCATTCCTTTGTCTACTTTTTGCGTCTTCTCCAAACGTAAAGCGTCATCTAAAGAAAGGTCACAGTTGAGCCTTTCTTGTCGTTGCACTGCCCTTGCATGGCTATTGTCCCATTGTTACATATTTCTCAATCCTGGCATTCAGAACAGGTTAGAGGGCTCAGCTAGTTTTGTAGTTGGTTATTATCAATGAAGAGGTCTAAGTAAATACAACAGATCCCATTTGATCTTCAAAGCTAAGCAGGCCAGCCCTGGTTATTATTTGGATAAGAAATACCTGGTGGTGCTAGATATCAGAAGAAGAAACTGGCAAAACCACACCCGAGTCATTCCCTAAGGACAGTGGCTCTCAATCCTGTGGGTCCCCAGATGTTTTAGTCTTCAACTCTCAGAAATCCTAACAACTGGTAAACTGGCTGGGATTTTTGGGAGTTGTAGGCAAGAACACCTGGGGACCTACAGGTTGAGAACCACTGCCTAAGGAAAACATATGGAATTCATGGTGTTGTCCTAAGTCAACAAGCAACTAGACAACACAGTATCAACAAACAAGGGTTGCCTATGAACATGTCCGCAGTTATGAGATTTTGCATACCATATATAACGCAGCCCAACAAAAACATTTCTTTTTCTTGGTGTCTGTTCCTGGGATTATCTGGGGCACTGATTAAGAAAATTGCATTGGATCAGCTTTAGTTTCTTAGATTTTCTATCATGATTTTCCATGGGTGAACAGATGACAACTGATATATGGCATATGTCTGCATCTCACAAGCCTAAGCTGATAGGTGAACATTGGTGCCATTTCTGGAATCAGTCGGTCAAATATATTCAGAAACAGGACTAACATTTGAGGCACCAAAACGTGCGTTGGCCAGTGTCAATTCTGAATGTCAAAAGGGTGATATACCTGTCTCAGAAATCTGCTGGCCTTCTCCTGCTCCAGTACTATTTGGCAGTGGGGATATTACCACTAATAAACAAAGAAGAATTAGAAACTTTTTTCTTTTTACTCCTCTGACCTATCTTCCCTTTTCCCTGCTCTCAAGGCAGTAGTTTAATTTTGTGTTTGTGTGTCAGGAGCGATTTGAGAAACTGCAAGTCACTTCTGGTGTGAGAGAATTGGCCATCGGCAAGGACGTTGCGTAGGAGACGCCTGGATGCTTTGATGTTTTACCATCCTTGTGGGAGGCTTTTCTCATGTTCCCGCATGGGGAGCTGGAGCTAACAGAGGGAGCTCAACCCACTCTCCCCAGATTTGAACCACTGACCACTATAGTCTTTTTGCACAAGTCCTTCCCCAACCCTCTCTAATTCTGATGTCTACCATATCCCTGGTTACTGGTTATTGAGGTTTGATTTTGATATTTTTATACCTTGCTGTTTTTATTTATTTAATTAGGCTGCTATATGTCTATTGTTTTTAACTGTGCTTTGTTGATATATTTTGTTGTATGCCTTTAGCTTGGTTCCCCATGTAAGCTGCTTTGAGTATCTTTGGGAAGATGGTGGTGGGATATAAAAGTAAAATTATTATTATTGTCATCAGAGTGGCAAATGCCTAGGGTCCATCATTCATTCTTTCTTCCCGCTGAAACATCTTTGCATCACACAGGGAAAAAGGCTTTCTTTCATGGCACACATCTTGCAGTGTTTTCCCCACCCTGCTACTTCTACAAGCAGAAGTCATTATGGAATTGAATCTGCAAACATTAATCCTTGCCCATGTCCATATAGCCTGAAAACTCAAAGACTGACACTCTTTTGGTATCTTTATAATCTCCTTTATTCTATTTACAGACTTGTTTTAGTTGTACTCGCCTAAAGACTCAACTTATATGAAGAAAAGGCCACTTTTTATTTCACAGCTTGCTCATCCATTGACAGCCACTCATAGTTTACTATTTGGCTGAAATAGTAGTTATACTGTTATCAGAATGAAGCACAATAAATGCAGATAATTGAGAGTGGCATAGAACTAGAACAGGTGGTTTAAACTCCAGCAAATTCATAGGAAACAACCTCAATATTATAAGAGTTTAATGCTATTGGAGCTGGGAAAGAAGGATAGACACGCAGCATTAAAAAAATCTTTTTATTAAAAACATTACAGTACATTTCAAGTGTGCGTGAAACTAGAAGGCACATAATAGAAGAGATATTGCAGTCTTCTAAAAGAAAAACTCCATTTTGAGTGTCCTACACTCGGTCCAGGCACTTTTTGACATTACATACAGGGCACCAAGCAGCACCAAAGGCTTCACTGCAGAAAAAAGAAATGTGTAGCCAGGCTCATGTTTGTTTCTGCACAATAATTGAACAGGAGGTGATAACATAATCCGTGACTGAGAAAAGCTGGCTGGCTCCTTTGGTTCTTTTTAGTAACAGTGCATAGCCTGACAGAACAGATTAAAACCTAAAGTAATTAATATTAAATCCTACATTACCTGCTGTACAAGGTCAAAGTGCATAAGCATTATCACAGCTATGAAAACACACTGAAGACATATGCAACTCTACACAGTTGATCTGAATATTAACCAATGCCTCTGTGGTATGATACTACATTATGCATTTATACACTGCACTAAGATAATACCAGTAACTCTTAATATAGAGGTGCCAACCCAAATAGGCACTTGAAATTGGCACGCTAAATAAACAGTTATTTTTCCATGATCAAGGCACAAAAACAGGCACTTTGCAAAACAAAGATCTGCAGTTTTTTCTAAACCTGGACAACATTTTCAGAGGGAAGAAAAACATCCGAAAATCCAGCAATGTTAGCTGTTAAAGCCTTCGTTGGTTCGCTGTACCAACTGCACACAATAGCCTCACATAGCTGGGATTACCTATTTGACTGAACCCGATGGCCACAGCAAATGTGGGCATCAGCAAATGTGACAGCAATGGAGCTTCCATAACTGACCACAGACACTAAATCTTCACAGTGATCCTTTTAAAATGAACTAGGATTAGTTCTTAAGCATATTTCTGCCTTAAAAAAAACCCAAACAGACTGACTGACCTAGATTGTCATTCACTGGGCCCATACCAAACTCCCAGTCTTTCAGGAGTGTAAATCATTTGGAATGGAATATTTCCCCAATCATTCCTTCATAAAAAGGAAACCATCCTGCCATTTCCATTCTATGTTCCTCTGCTTCTCACTCTGATTTCTTTTGAAATTCCGATTCACATCCCTCCAAAATGTTTCAAGCATGATTTGGGTGTTTAAAGCTCTGGAAGCCACACTTTGAGAAGTGATCTGGGACTAACTGCTCACACACCAGGATTTCAAAAGTGTTCCAGTTCCATGCGGTGAAAACCTCAAAGGTTGATGTTTACACACAGAAGCTTATCCTATATACATGTGCACAGATTGCTTGCAATTTAAAGATTGCTTGCTCTCATAATCTTCACTTATTCATACTACTGTTCCTCACTGTATGTAAAACCAGACATACCGTAACATTGCTACTTTGAAATACCTCCTTGATATCACTTTAAAATCCTTCTCCATGACTGTGGGGAAAATTCCACATTCAGAAAGGCAATGAAAATCACTATATGCAAGTACTGCTAGTTTTGGAACAATCTTCAAGTAATGGTTACATTTTGGAATAACAATGAATATATGTGACTTTCTGTATCATGCTACAATATAACATTTTAATCAAATCCAGCCACTTCTAGTGGGGGCAAATTTCAACTGGATCTTCCATTGGTTGCTGTATATATACATCTTTGCATCAGAATGAAATACTAACTGATAATATTTGAGGAAAGTTAGTATTTTGTGTTGGAGTGCAACCATGACAAAGGTTTTGAAAACATTGTCCTAACTCCTAAGTCTGAAAACACTACTACTTTGGAGTGTTAGTCTAATGTTCAAAAGAACAAAAAAAAATCACCTGCACACCCATCTATGCATTCGATTTTCCTTATGTATCAAGCTTCATTACATATTCTCGAACACAAATACAGTACATGTACACTCTGTACACTCCCATTCTGTATAATTACTTCCTTCTCGAGCAGATCGTGGTACAGAATTGGAGCAACATCAAGTTATTTGTTTCCTTAGTCCTGTCTGAAACATGGATTTCTGATCCCCTTTCAATATCCTGCACAAATGTGGGTTTCATGCAGCTGCACTCTGTCGTGACAGATTTTTTGGTTCTTTACTTGGAACACACCAGTCATCTGCTTCTATAGGAGTCTGATAATGCTTGCAGGCTGATTTGTTGAAAACAGGAAGCTTTTCTATAGATTCTGTGGAAAGGGCCTAGAAAGCAAGACCAAGATTTATAGTTAGGTATAATGTGTGGGCCCCCTGGTGGTGCAGCGGGTTAAACTGCTGAGCTGTTGAATGTGCTGACCAAAAGGTTGGCAGTTCGAATCCGGGGAGCAGGGTGAGCTCCCGCTGTTAACCCCAGCTTCTGCCAACTTAGCAGTTCAAAACATGCAAATGTGAGTAGATCAATAGGTGCCAGTTATGTGGGAAGATAATGGCGCTCCATGCAGTCATGACCTTGGAGGAATCTACAGACAACACTAGCTCTTCAGTTTAGAAATGGAGATAAGCACCACCCCCCAGAATCGGACTCGACTAGACTTAATGTAAAGAAGAAACCTTTACCTTTTATCATCTGAGACAAACCAAAATTGTTCTTTTGGGTCTACTTATTTCATTTTATCCATTAATATCCTACTTTTCCCCAAGGTGACTTACAACTTATTAAAAACAGTACAGATTAAAAACTACACAAAAAACTCAGTTTAAAATGTCAATATAAAATTTATTTTTAATGTTAAACTCATTAAAATATATTAGAAGACAATGTACAAACCAACAAAACAGCACGGCACACCAGTAAAATGCCCATCGTTGTCAACTTTTAAAAACTACATAGTAGTTCAAAAACTACTTAATGGAATAAAAATGTTTTTGCTTATTGGTGGAAAGAGAGCCATACTAGCCTCCCTAATGAAAAACATCTGGACTACAGATACTTTGAAGAAGTTTCAAAAAAAGTGAGGTGTCATATATGTTTCTCCTTAATATAAATGTCATATTTAATTGTTTTTCATGTTAAGTTCACCAGAATGCACATGTGAAGAGGAGCTAATTTAATTTCTTCAAATACAATCTGGATGCTTGTTCTCATAACAGTTCTTCTGTCTTTTTGTAAGAAATTCAGCATGTCTCACAATCCACGGGATTGCAAAATAAGTTAATAAGTTCCAATGGTCTGGAATCAGCAACATAAATTCCTTAAGAATGCATTCTGTATCTAATAGTAAATCATTTACTATTAAAACCAAAGAGGCCAAAGCTAGCACACATCCAGTTTTAAAAGCTCGTTAACAGTAATTTAATTTGCAGTGTTACAAAACTATTGGAATGGAAAAGAAAGAATAAGAACAAAACATACCTTCAAGTAAATCAGAGCATCTGTCCCATAGCCAGAAATGGAACAAAGATTGAGGTCCCCATGAAAGTATTTAGCATACAGGCGAGAAATTGGCAATCCATAACCAAAACCAGCCTAGAGATAAAGAAGTAATTTCATTAGATTTCCCCCTTTTCTAGTTCAAATACCGTAGAATGGAAAATTTACTGGTGTAAATTCCAAATGAAGACTCTTATGCTCTACTGTAACTATTCCAAGGGGAACATGAGAACAGTAGACACGTTACAGCATTGGTTCCCAACCTTTGGACCTCCAGATGTTTTGGATGTCAACTCCCAGAAATCCCAGTCAGTTTATCAGCTGTTAGGAACTGTGGGAGCTGATATCCAAAACACCTGGAGGCCCAAGGATTGAGAATGACTACATTTCAGACACAATGTTTACTTCAAGCTGCTTTGTGTATTGCTGACCTCATTACAAACATTCAGATAGTTTCTAGAATGACACACTACTGGTGTTCTCTTTTAGGGATCATCTTAAAAAGCTGGTCCATTTACCCAAGCAGCAATGATTAACAGAAAAAGAAGAAAAGGGGAGGTAAGAAACCTAATTTTACAAGTAAAATACTTGGGACTGTTAAACTTAATTTTTCATTTAATATGTCACTTGTGAGGGTACACTTCACATGACCCAGCAAAACCCACAAACAATGTCCTTCTTATAGAAGAAAGAGATTAGGCTAGAACTCTTGCCTCAAAATATGACTTTTGTTCAAAATCATCTCATAATTTGATCATATGTATCCCTATGCACAGGCCAATATCAAGGGGTCTAATTCCACATCCAGTTGTCAAGAATTGGACTTCTTCTCCCTTCAAAAAATGCTGTACAGTATAGTAAAGTGTTTTTCAACCTGTGGGTCCCCATATGTTTTGGCCTTCAACTCCCAGAAATCCTAACAGTTGATAAACTGGCTGGGATTTCTGGAAGTTGTAGGTCAAAACACCTGGGGACCCACAGGTTGAGAACCACTGGTATAGCATGAGATCTAGACTTATACATGGCCCTGTATAGACAGAGTTTTGCATTCAGAGGATGTGATATTGGACTCTTGCAATTAACACACACATCAACAAAGTAATGATGCAGCCACTGCAGATATCAGGCAAGTTGATACAGGGATCTCCAAACTAAGGCCCACGGGTCCTCCTAAAGTCATTTACTTCATCATTTAATTCATTCATTTTTTTTTCAAAGTATAGTCTGCCCCTCACGCCACCCCAAGTCTGAGGGACCATGAACTGGCCTTCTATTTAACAAGTTTGAGGGGCCCTGATTTAAAGCATCCTGTCTCAATTTGTCATAAGCCTCCTCATAAAAGCAAGGAAGGTTCTTATAGCCCAGGCTTCTTACCAAAGGAGTTGTATTCTTGTTATCCATTACAGGCTTTGGTGCAGTAGAATATGTGTAGCTGAAGAGGCTTTCAATTTTCCTCACTGGAACGCCGCCTCCTCTATCAGATATCTAGATTAAAAAAATAATTTTAAGGGTTAAAAATATACATTTGACATATGAGCAGCTGCAGCCAAATAAAATGACTAATTCACATGTTCTTGTTTTTAAAGGCTTCAATCTCAAAGAATATTTGACTTAGTTTTAAGGTACAAACCATAATGATTGCATTCCATCACAGCAATCCTATTTATATCAATGAGACTATGTATGGAATCGATTAACCCCCCCCCCCTTTGTTGTGCTCTTTAAACAGTTAAGAATGACATATGGAAAAAGCCAAGTTACCTTGATTGACAGGTCTTCCTTTCCAAGCACAACAGTCACTTCCACTGGATCAAGAGAGGGCTTGTTTTCTTGATGCTCAACTGTTGCCCTCATTGCATTCTGTAAGAAAAAATAGAAAGAATTTGATTTGAAAAAGAATGACTTTTGTCATTTTGAGTAGTAATCAGCACACAACAGACTGAATTGCTAATGTTTCCTTCTATTTTCATTTTCTTGCTTTATGACAGTGGTTCTCAACCTGTGGGTCCCCAGGTGTTTTGGACTACAACTTCCAGAAATCCCATCCAGTTTACCAGCTGTTAGGATTTCTAGGAGTTGAAGGCCAAAACATCTGGGAACCCACAGGGTTGAGAACCACTGCTCTATACGTTCTATTGTGAGGCCTAATCTGAAATATGCAGGAAGAGTTACAATGTAAAAGGAAGTCTAAAAATGAATACTTTATAACCACAAATACCAACCTTGAAGAGTTCAAACAGCATGTGAAAGAGATGAGAAGGTACATATACTATGTGAATAGGCTGTCCAGCTGTCTTTCCTGCAGAAGAATACAGAAATAATAATCAACTCACTAGTTTTATTACCAAGCTACAACTTAAAACAATTATTGTTGGTGAGCATGTTGGTTTTTAATGAGAACTGTCCATGCCAATCAGAATCCTACAGAATATCACCCTTAATTTTATATAGCAGTGGTTCTCCAGATGTTTTAGACTGCAGCTCTCCAAATTCCTGACAGTTGGGAACTACAATTCTATAGCATTGTGATTTTGGTCATGCCTAAATGGATAAGTGCAACTATGCAAATTCCACATTATCTCTAAAAAACATCAAGCTTACAATTCCAGGATAAGTACAAATTAGGGAGCAGCAGTTAAGTTATAGGAAAAGTAAAACGCCTGTAACCCATGAAAGCTTTAGGGAATTGCCTAATATTATGAAAAAGAGAAATACTCACCATTCACTTGAGTGAGCTTTAACTCTGGAGAAGCAAAGTAATACTGGTCACAAAGCATCTGAGCACTTTGGAAAGCATCTGGAATTTATTTTGAGGGAGAAAAAAAATAAAGCATTGTTTTAAGAATTTTTAGATATAGTATTACTTATTTCTTAAACATTATAAGAATGCAGCATTAATCAGCATTGTAGTAAATTCAGGGAATTCATCCTCCCAATTTTTGAACTCTATTACTGTCCACACTATAATTCTATTACAGTTTGCACTAAAGCATTAAGAACATTAGTACAGAATTATCCCATTTATAGGACAATTGCATACTCATAACTAAGTCCCACTGATCTCAAAGTAATTCTCAGATGTATACGTACCATGGACCAGGTCAACAACATCACAGCATGGGTCAATGCATCCAATGTGTCGTGGATTACCGATATTGTTATTGTTGTCAAAAATAAGTGCTGTTGAAAAAAAAGATATAAAATGATTAATCAAAGAATTATTTTAAGATGGGTACTGCCGTTATGCATCTTCAAGCAATTTCAGACTTGGTCAGAATTAATTAAAGTTATTCCAATAAAAATTTTCAGACACATTTTTAATTTTTATCCCAGGCTTCCCACAAGGAGTTCATAATGATATAGATGAGATTCTGTTTTGAATTTCACAACCACCCTGTAATGCAGAAATGGGCGACTGGTGTAAGACCTGGCACCACATTTGGACTCATTGAATGACTTGTGAATGACTTTTGGGATGCAATAATATATAATCAAATTTCTCTAAGGGTCACAAAAGAAAATGCAACCAGTTCATTATGTAGATTTCCTGATGCAGATTTGCTACTAGGCATTGGAAGTACTTTATGTTATAAGGTTTTAGCACAGCACTCTAGAGTACAATATGCAGTTTATTGTTGTCTTTGCTATATTTTTTAACTACCGAAAGAGATGGAAACCAACTTACTGTGCTGGTTTATTAGCATCCGGATGGATATCCGGTTCATGTAAAATCGATCCAAGAAGTACTGAATGTTTTGATTGATGAATGGGTCCATCTTCGATGAATCTCTGTATTCTAGAACTCCCTGGGCCATTGTGGGCACCACATCATGATGTCGGTTTCTGACTTTAATAATGGCATCTATAAAACTGGATGGGGGAGAGAAAATTTTAGGCTTGGACATACAAAGAAGTGTGAAAAGCAAATGAAACAAGTTACCATTTCAAGATTAGTCTCAATTGTGAACTTAGCAGGAATTATTTGTAAACCTTGAATAAATACATGGGTTTCTTTATCACTCCAAGATATCCTAATTATCCTGACCATTTAAAAGTTATTGCCTTGTTTTAATTCCATGTGTCATTTTCTGCAATATGAGATGTTTGTCAGTTTTGCTGCTGTAATCTTATGAATAAATTTATCTCAGTACATTATAACTGAACATCTCTGTTTTCTGAATTGGACAATAATCAAGTTTCTAACAAGTGTCAGCAGTCAGCCATTAGCTTGAACATAGTAATTTGCTGTTAAAACACAACACAATGAACTTACTCTGACAGAACTTTGTGGTCATCAGATTTTTTATCATGGAACTCCACCAGCTCCATTAGGCTTTGGACATACCTGTTGAAAAGTACACGTAAAGTAAATCTGAGGGGATAAGGTCAAGGCAGGGGAAATTTATTTGCACAGGTATCATGACATAAGTTTTAGCAATTCAGTAACTCAAACAGAAGACAAACTAAGAATGAGTAAAAGACTTCAGTTATGTCTAGAGAAAGGTAAGAAAAATATTGTTGTTGCATGCTTGCACCAAAATATGAATAATGAAAAATTGGGATTTTTTTCTGATATAAGTTTGTATGCATACTTCTTTCAATTTACTAAGTCAACCACTGTGAGGAATTGTATGTTTCTAGTATGTGTGTGATACCATTTAGCTTGCAGCTTTACTCATAGTCAAGAAGAACAATGCTTGTACATCTGCACAAACACTGCCTGGTGAAAAACATTTATTTAGCTTCCTCTATCTTGATATGACTAATGCCACCACTGATAAGGATATAGGTAGAAAAAACAAACAGAAGGCTCTACACTAGCTTGATTTATGTTTAACAAGTAGCTGCAGAAACTGCAAAACTTTGTTGAGAATGCATTAACTGCCCATTTAGTGTTAGGAAAAACAACCCTATAATATAGCAGGGCATCCAAAAATCAAACAGGATAAAAGTTGAGCATTAGCTCACATCTAGCAAAGCGTGAAGTACCGTGTGATGTGGCTGTAAATAATTTAGAGCTTAGACAGGCGAAAATGCAGAGTCCAATCTTAAAAATCTCAAAAGGTTTAGTTACAATAATAAAGATCTAACTACATTTCTTCATGGTAAAGAACTGGCTCTGAGCTACTCTAGCACCCGTGTCTGCTACAATTTCAAAGAGAGGGAAAACACCAATCACTTCATTTCTCCTGACACACAAGCAGAGAGCGATCTCAAAGCACACAGCACATACTCAGATGTAAGAAAACAGAAGTTGGATTTAAAAAAGGCTTGCAGCAGAAAAGTATCCATTCTACACAACCAACCAGAATGAAAACAGGAAGAGAGAAGAGCATGCAACAACAATATTTTTCTTACCTTTCTCTAGACATAACTGAAGTCTTTTACTCATTCGCAACTGTCATAGAGGAGACATAGGGGAAGGGAAACCCTCAGATTATTCTAATGCTAACTAACTTCTCCTCGTTGAGGACTTGAGACTTGGGAAGTGTGGGGTTGAATTCCAACATTTAGCACATGCTATTGTGTTCTATGACATACTGACTTATATAGACAGATAAATGTTGAAAACACTTTTTATGCCTCAATTCAAGAGTTTCATTTAGTTAAGAATTTCAGAACAAGCAACATGTTTTTGAGGATTAAAACTTAAGATAGTAGAATGTATTTATTTGTTTACGATATTTATATCCTGCCTTTCTCTACCCCGAAGGGGACTCAAGACGACTTACAGATTCAATGCCTTAACCACAATACATTCAAGTAAAATACATTAAAATTAAAAATCAACATTAAATACATTATAAACATTATTATCATTATCAACCATGCAATCAGCAATCATAGTCCATCCAGATCATTCCGATAGTCATTGCACATAATTCTGATTAATCTACTGTACTATGGTTGTTCTCTGAAAGTTTGATCCCAGAGCCATGTTTTAACTCTTTTTTCTGAGGGTCAGGAGGGAGGGGGCTGATCTAACCTGTCACTGTTATGCCTGTCACAGACTTACCAGCTTTTTACCAACTGTACTGAAGGAGTGCTCAACAATGGATTAGGAAGGAGGTCAATTTCTTTCAGAATATTTGCTAGCCGCACAGGAAGTTCATGCCGAAGAAATGAAAAAGAGGTCTTTTCACAAGCATTAGTTGACCCTAAAAGAGATTTAAATTACCGTCAGTGTAGGTATGTTAGGAAGTACACCAACAAAGTTCACATCTCATCATTGCGTTATACATGAAGTAATGAAGTTCATGAAGTAATGAATATACTGTAGCGGTTGCTACCTTTGAGTCCCCCCAGGGGTGAGAAAGGCAGTATATAAATACTATAAATAAATAATAATAAGTATTAAAACAAAAGAGCTTTCTGAACAATCTGCAGAAATGCAATAATCAATAGAAAATAATCAGCAAAATGATCTGGTCTAATCCTTCTATGCTCATGATTTGTTTGTCACAAATAGTTGTGCACCCAAAGCAGAAGTCTAGATATGAGTTACAAAAAGTTACAAGAAAATTAAATTAATAATCTATGGCTGCCTTTGGGGCGGGCGGTTAATTTTAGGAAACAATTGAAGTGGGTTATGTGTTAATAAATCCTTAACAATTAACCAATTTCACAAAATTAGATGTGGTACATTTTTCGTTGAATAATTTTGCTTAACGCTACATTTTCATATGTGTGAGAACTATTCAGCAGTGGAACTCTCTGCCCCAGAGTGCGGTGGAGGCTCCTTCTTTGGAGGCTTTTAAACAGAGGCTGGATAGCCATCTGTTGGGGGTGCTTTGAATTAGATTTTCCTGCTTCTTGGCAGGGGGTTGGACTGGAAGGCTCGTGAGGTCTCTTCAACTCTATGATTCAAAAATGTGTCTGGCTTTTCAACAAGTCAAAATTGTTGGGGTCTTTAGAAGACAGATACTGCTACATGAAAGCCAGGGGTTCCTAACAGATCATATCACACAGACTTGGTGCCACTGAAGGCATATGCAGTAAACAAACTACTAAGCTTTTAGGGTCATACAGCCCAGAAAATTCACCGCAACCCAAAACAACTGAGCAGCCATTAGATGTATAGATACTTAATGTCTTTTGCCCTAATAAGAGAGTTAAGGAGAACTATCAATAATAAAATATTTCTATTGCATAATCTTAACTGCAGCAATGTTGAAGTAATATAGAAACTTACTTATTGACTTATATATAGTTAGAGGGACAAGCAAAATCCTGTTTCTAGCATCCGATTGCTAATTCTGATGGATTTAAGTAAATTATTTAAATTCTTAAAAAGATTTGCTTACATTTTTTAAAAAAGTCAAAAATGTTATTTTGGAGGCTGTTTGGGAACAACATTTGCATAGTAAAGCATAGCTCCCATTTCAGAGAGACAGGAAGTCAACACAGTTTTATATAACATGTTTATTCAATGTCTGTCCTTCCAAAAAGAGTATTTACTTAAGGGCACAGTTTTCAAATGTTTCAATTTTTATTGCACAAAATATTTAGTTACATGGAGTAAACACTATATAACACACTTCTAAAAACTTCAGTTTATTGACCAATCCCACAAGGTTTGAGAAATGTGGAGGCTTACTTCTTCCAAGATGGGCTTTCTGAACATTTGCTTTCTAAGAAAACTGACATTACTGCATGCATTATTGCATTACACAAAACTACATGCTGAAAATGCTACAGTTAAACGGAACCTCTCTCCATACTTCAAATGCAGACACAAAAACAAAAGGAAGAGATGGACCATTTCAGAATACTTTTAACTGGAATGCAAGACAGAAAAACAAAGGGAGTTTTGTGCAGCCTTAAAGACTAGCCAATGTGATCCCATACAAATTCACAAAGACATATGTCCCATTTTGATCAGGGTTGTTCACTCACTGGGATTAATATCTTATATTGCAGCTCTACAGCATACCATGATTGGATGCATAAATTGCATCAGACCAGTTGAGTTCATGAAATCAGATGTATACATTGCATCAGAGCAGATGGGTGTACCTGAGGAATGGCCCTGGATGCATCTATCTGCTGTTAGGAATTGTGGGAGTTGAAGTCCAAAACACCTGGAGGGCCAAAGTTTGCCCAGGCCTGATTTACACTGTAGTATGAATGCAGCTTGACACCACTTTAATTGCCATGTCTCGATGCTATGGGACCCTGGGAGCTGTAGTCTTACAAGATCTTTAGATTTCTCTGCCAAAGAGGACTAATGCCTTAACAAACTACAACTCCCATAATTCTACAACATTGAGCCAAGTCAGTTAAGAGTGGTATCAAACTGTATTCATTCTACAGTGTAGTTGCACCCCTCTGATACAGTCCAAACAAGTTTGTAGAAAGGCATCCCTTGGTATCCAATGGGGTTTGGTCCTAGTACCTCCTCTGGATGTCAAACTTCATGGATGCTCAAGTTCCATTATATACAGTAGCATAACAAAATAGTATCCCTTATTAAAAATGGATTTTAAATAATATTTTAAAAGCTGTGTAATGATTGCATCCATGGATGCAGAGACCTGTCTATAACCCTATGATGGTTTTAATAGTTTTAACTTTTTGTGTGTGTCAGGAACAATTTGAGAAGCTGCAAGTCGCTTTTGGTGTGAGAGAATTGGCCATCTGCAAAGACATTGCCCAGGGGACACACAAATATTTTGATGTTTGCCATCCTTGTAGAAGGCTTCTCTCATGTCCCAGCATGGGGAGCTGGAGCTGACAGAAGGAGCTCAACCCACTCTCCCCAGATTTGAACCACTGACCTGTCGGTCATCAGTTCTGCTGGCACAAGGATTTAACCCATTATGCCACAGGGGGCTCAGAGTTTTAACTCATATGTTATTGTGTGGCTGCAACTCATCTGCAAGGATAGATGACAATGAAGAGAAGTTACGCTGCATTTCAATGCTGCTGAATTTTAATACGAAAGACCTATATGCCAATTACTTTGTGTAGCACTTTATATTGTTGTGCTTTTATAGTGCATGCATTTGTTTATCTGCATGTGAATAGCATATGATCTAAGCCAGAGCTTTCCAAACCATGTGTCGGCTGCAGTGCATAGGGGTGTGTAGCACAAACCTGATGAGAAACCCTGGAAGTCTATGTGAAATGAACAATAAATCATACACACACACACACACAGAATTACGGTGTCACTCAGAAGTGCATCAATATGAAATGCTTGGTCTAAGAATGGTATGGGCAAACGTTGGCCCTCCAGGTGTTTTGGACTTCAACTCTCACAATTCCTAGCAGCCTATCGGCTGCTAGGAATTGTGGGAGTTGAAGTCCAAAACACCTGGAGGGCCAACGTTTGCCCATGTCTAATAAACAACAATACTGGAGAGGAAACAGCATCCCTCGCCATCCACAGGTCAAGAAAAGCTTCCCACCCCAATTTTGCATCTTCTCACTGCAAGAGGCAACTTTGGAAGCCCAGAGAGCTGTAAAGAAAGGCTGCAACACCTCCACAGTCTTGTCCTGTCCCAAAATGCATTGATCTCTAATTGCCAAATTGCATTGATCTCTAATTGCAGCCATTCTTTCCATTGGGCATCCCATCAGGCACTGGATTACACACAACCCCCTCAATTGCCCCATTTCCCCCTCACCGAAATCCAGGAACTGCTTGATGGACAGGGGCGAAGGCGAGTAACGAGCAAAATGCTCCACTTCCCGGGTGGCCCTCCCGTTGCCCGGGTGGCCATGGCTCGTGGCGGCCAAAGGGGCCGCGTTCCGTAGGGCGATCCGAGCAGCCTTCATGGCCACGCTGTGGATGATGGGCCTGGAGTGCCTTGTTACCTTCCCTTCACAAACACTCTCTCTAAAAAGACTGAATTCCTTCTGACTTGCCTGTGCACGTGCAGGCTTTATTTATATCCTCCGAAGGGGGCGTGGCCAGAGTGGAGCCCCGCCTCCTAACTCTCCCAGTGGCCACGCCCACTGACAGAAATGACGTCAGCAAGGGATAGAATTCGTTAGCTTTACCCCTTCCCCTCCCTCCTTGCCTACCTTTGGGGGAAGGGGGCGTGTCGAAGGGAAAAAGGTACGAAGTGGGCGTGGCCTTCGCTCCGTCCAATCAGACAGAGGTTCCTTCTCAAACCCATTTGCCCTTGTTGACAGTTTGAGGGATTGGAGATCACAAGGGCAACTTCCTCCCGAATCCTCCCCCGCCCCCACTCACTCATCCTCGCGCCTGGAGCAACCGTCTTCGAATTCATTTCTTATTGGCTGGCTCGGCTTAAGGGTCCCCGATTAAGCCAATCAGAAAGCTGTATCCATAACTAGCGGCTTCTTCTCTGGGCGGGGCTTCGGCTGCGGCTCGAAGCGATAAACAAGTCGCTCTGATTCCTGAGGGGAAGGGAAAGGGAGGAGGAGGCTGTCCTCCTTTTTCCAAGAAGAGCGAGAACAACCGAGGAGGGAGGGAGGGAAGGCGGGCTCAGAGCCAGGCTGAGGGGGTGTGGCGGGAACACGCTGTGTGGGATAAACAGCGTCTTTCAAAAGATAAAAAAGGAACAGCCCTTGGAAAGCACCATCTTTCCCCTCAGAATAGGCTAAATATAGAGTGACGTAAAACCTCACACGTTTGCTTCCCAAGAGGCTGCCACCTGAGGCAAAGGTGGTCACGTTTTCCCTCAGAGGGCCAGCTGCCACGTTTCTATTCAACACAAGTATTTCCCCCTTTTTGTCAAGGGTTTTAAAAATATTATTATTACTCTTATTTACTATATTTATACCCCACTCTCTCTCACCCCAATGGAGACTCAGTGGCTTACAAGTTATATCTCCTTCTAATGTATATTATTATTAGCATAGCACAATCTTAGCATTTTTTTTTTTTGTCGTGTCAGGAGCAACTTGAGAAACTGCAAGTCGCTTCTCGTGTGAGAGAATTGGCCATCTGCAAGGACGTTCCCCAGGGGACGCCCAGATGTTTTGATGTTTTACCACCCTTGCGGGAGGCTTCTCTCATGTTCCCACATGGAGAGCTGGAGCTGATAGAGGGAGCTCATCCGCACTCTCCCCGGATTCGAACCTGCGACCTGTCAGTCTTCAGCCCTGCTGGCCCAGAGGTTTAACCCACTGCACCACTGGGGGCTCCTTATATATTATATCTTAGCATTAAGGTAAAGGTAGTCCCCTGACATTAAGTCCAGTCATGTCTGACTCTGGGGTGTGGTGCTCATCTCCATTTCTAAGCCGAAGAGCCAGCGTTGTCCGTAGACACCTCCAAGGTCATGTGGCCGGCATGACTGCATGGAGCGCTGTTACCTTCCCGCCGGAGCGGTACCTATTGATCTACTCACATTTGCATGTTTTCGAACTGCTAGGTTGGCAGAAGCTAGGGCTGACAGCGGAAGCTCACGCCGCTCCCCGGAATCGAACCTGCGACCTTTCGATCAACAAGCTCAGCAGCTCAGTGCTTTAACCCACTGCGCCACCGGGGGCTCCTTATCTTAGCATTATATATTACTATATTGTACAATGCCTGTTCTGGAACAGCTGTTCCAGGAGCTCCAGTTTTGTTTGCTTTGCATTTAATGTTTGTTATAGTCCTAAGTTTCAGGGACTCAGCAGATAGGTGGCTTCTTTTGGCTGCAATCATAGGGCAAGCACCTGTCAATTATTGTTAGGTTCCCTGGTCCTGCCCCTTTTTGAGTTTTGGAGGGAATAGGAGCCTTTTTGAGTCAGTTCTCACAGAGAAGCCTTTTGCACAGGACATAAAACCAAGAGCTCCTGTAGAAAGTTTCATCTTCTACGGCTTGGCCGGGGAGATATACAGCCTACAGCCTGACCGGGGTTGTACAGCCTTACAGCTCCTTTGCTGAGGGACTTCAGCCAGCCATCACCAAAAACTGAACTCCTTTTCCCTTGGAAGTCTACAAAGCTCTGCTTGGTAAGGGTCACTCGCGGAAGCCAGACGCAGTTGGTACCGGGTGCAGGGGCTCCACACCAACGGAGGCAAGTACAGACTGCCCAGATTAGAAGTTAAGGATTTCCCCATTAGTTGGTTACAGTTAAGAAGATAGTGCCTGTTCCCAGTGAACAAGATTGCAAGAGCCAATAGACTGTTAAGAAAGCTTTAAAGTACCTGTTTGTTTTCATCAATAAAGAACTTTGTTGGACTTACTTTAAGCCTCTACAGAACTTTGTTTTGGGGAGGTCCAAGGGCCTTTAATCTGAGGCAACCCCGGCATCCTGTTGGGCACACAGAATTTATGTCCTGTCTACAGTCATATGCACAGGCCCAGCGTGCGACAGCACAATGCCACTATACCATAATATTAGTAATATTACATGAAATAGTTTATTAATATTTTTATTTTGTTATTATTAGTATTGTATTATATTATAATATTATTATCAATATTATATGTATATACAATATATTATATTCGTATCATAACTCAATATTTGTATTATCTAATACTGTATTGTTGCTGGGGGGAGGGCCCCTCGACTGATGGTACAGGAGACAAGGTGGAACTGTCTTCCTGGCTTCTCTTTTTCACTCTGGCCCCAGAACGACAGTTGGTGCTGGAGGGAGGGGTCCTCGACTAATGGCACAAGTGACAACGTGAAACTGATTTCCTGACTTCCCCTCTTCATTTTGGCCCCAGAGCGACAGTTGGTGCCGGGGGGAGGGCTCCTTGACTGATGACACAGGGGACAAGGTGGAAGTCTCTTCCTGGCTTCCCCTCTTCACTCTGGCCCAGAGCAACAGTTGCTGCTGGAGGGAGGGGTCCTCGACTGATGGCACAGGAGACAAGGTGGAACTCTCTTCCTGGCTTCCCCCTTCACTCTGGCCCCTCTAGCCCCATATATATACACACATACACACATACACACACACAAAATATAAATGGGGTACCATTCTCAAATTTCTTTAACATACTTCAGTACTAATTATACTTGTATCTCTCTCTCTTTAAAGAGATTTAAAGATAGGCTTAAAGCCAACCTTAAAAACTGGCATAAACACTGAGAACTGGGAAGCCCTGGCCCTTGAGTGCTCTAGCTGAAGGTCAGCTGTGACCAGCAGTGCTACAGAGTTTGAAGAGGCAGGAGTGGATGGCGAAAGGGAGAAACCTGCCAAGAGGAAGGTGCATCAAGCCAACTCTGATCAGGACCATCTTCCATCTCAAAACTGATGTCCTCACCGTGGGAGAACATACAGATCAAGCATAGGGCTCCACAGCCACCTATGGAACCACCGCCAAGACACTGCACTTGGAGGACCATCATCCTCGGGCTATGAGGGATTGCCTAAATAAGTAAAGTTAGTAATACTTGCATTTTACCAACATTAAAAACATCTTTGTTGGAAACTGCAACTTTCTACAAGCCTCCTATACCAGTTATTTGTTAGGTTCGTATATAATTTGAGATTGCTTACTATACTATATATAGTATAGACCACACCTGGAATATTCTGGGAACCACAATTGAAGAGAGATATTGACAAGCTGGAATGTGTCCAGAGGAGGACGACTAAAATGATCAAGGGTCTGGAGAACAAGCCCTATGAGGAGCGGCTTAAGGAGCTGGGCATGTTTAGCCTGAAGAAGAGAAGGCTGAGAGGAGATATGATAACCATGTATAAATATGTGAGAGGAAGCCACAGGGAGGAGGGAGCAAGCTTGTTTTCTGCTTCCTTGGATGCGGAACAATGGCTTCAAACTACAAGAGAGGAGATTCCATCTGAACATGAGGAAGAACTTCCTGACTGTGAGAGCCATTCAGCGGTGGAACTCTCTGCATTGGAGTGTGGTGGAGGCTCCTTCTTTGGAAACTTTTAAACAGAGGCTGGATGGCCATCTGTCAGGGGTGCTTTGAATGCAATATTCCTGCTTCTTGGCAGGGGGTTGGACTGGATGGCCCATGAGGTCTCTTCCAACTCTTTGATTCTATGATTCTATATCCACAAAAGTCAGCACTGACACTGAAATACACCGCCTGAGCTCTGCAAGTGCAGTATTCTTCCTTATCAAGCAGAGAGTGTTTGAGGATCGGGACATCCATAGGGATACCAAGGTGCTTTTTTATAAAGCCATTGTCTTCCTAACCCTGTTATATGCCTGTGAAACATGGACTGTCTACAGATGTCACACTCAACTCCTGGAACGATTCCATCAGCGTTGCCTCCGGGAAATCTTGCAAATCTCTTGGGAAGACAGGCAGACAAATGTAAGCATGCTGGAAGAAGCAAAGACCACTAGCATTGAAGTGATGCTCCTATGCCACCAACTCTGTTGGACTGGCCATGTTGTCCAAATGCCAGATCACTGTCTCCCAAAGCAGTTGCTGTACTCCCAACTCAAGAATGGAAAGCGGAATGTTGGTGGATAGGAAAAGAGATTTAAAGATGGGCTTAAAGTTAATCTTAAAAACTGTGGTCTAGATACCGAGAACTGGCCCTTGAGCACTCAAGTTGGAGGTCAGCTGTGACCAGCAGTGCTGTGGAATTGAAGAGGCATGAATGGAAGGTGAAAAGGAGAAACATACCAAGAGGAAAGTGTGTCAAGCCAACCCTGAATTGCCTTCCACCTGGAAACCGATGTCCTCACTGTGGAATAACATGTGGGTCAAGAATAGGGCTCTACAATCACCTATGGGCCCACCATCAAGACCCTATACTTGGAAGGCCATCATACTCGGACAACGAGGGATCACCTAATGAATGAATGACTATATTGTACGTATATATTGGTATGCAGTTTTTCCCTTAACTATATTGTTTGAATTTGTGAGTGGGACTACAGACCATGTGACCCAGATCTGAGAATGTTCAGAGACTCCATTTTAGAATCCGTTTGAATCAGAAGTCTGTTGGAAGTCAGTTGATGCCAGTTAGAGTG